GTGGATGGCTTGCAGACTTCGTAGTAATCTGCGTCTTCGATCTTAATGTTATTGTTGTTGTTGAAGCTTACCCGCATTGCTGACCAGGTTGGGCACGACGAGCACCTGTGCTTCCAACATTGAAATGCATATTATAAAACGTACGATAAGGAGGCGTCAGGACCCGGTCTGAGAAAATGTGGAGCAAATACAAAGGATTCACGCTATGATAGACATTTCCCAATCCTCCACCCGTCCCTCCACCCTGGTCCGCAATTCACACCCAATTGGGCATTGCAGTGCCAATACCCATACGCTGCATTCATTCCTCGTCTCATGCCGTTGTGTTCATTGCCATCAACACCAGCCACCGTCCCTGTCGTTACGTTGGCCGATTCCTTTATGCTTGCCAACCTCCTAAAGTTACTTCGTGCCAGGCCCTAGAAAGGAGCAATGGTAGCAAGCAAAGGCGGCCAATTCCAATTGTCGGCCATGCAATTCTAATTGGCAGACATGCATTGAGCTGTTGACAACCGATTCCAATTGAACCTGCTCTTTGCAGCCAATTCCAACTGGACCTGCTCTTGGCAGCCGATTCCAATTGAACCTGCTCATGGAAGCCAATTCCAACTGGACCTGCTCTTGGCAGCGGAATCCAATTGAACCTGCTCTTGGCCAGCAATTCCAACTGGACCTGCTCTTGGTAGGCGATACCAATTGAACCTGATCTTGGCAGCCAATTCCAACTGGACCTGCTCTTGGCACCCGATTCCAATTAAACCTGCTCTTGGCAGCCAATTCCAATTGGACCTGCTCTCGGCAGCCGATTCCAATTGAACCTGCTTTGAGTATTATCAGCGTTGGCATCAAGTTCGAATGTTCCAAATGTCGCCAATGTGCCGACACCGCCGACATCTGCTTGTGTCCCCTAGCCCCTGAGCTTGCGCCGCTTGCTGTAGCGTCGCTTGCAACATCCCACGTTACCCTTATGACATCGACTTGCTTGCAAATGACCCCGCATTTGCCCCCCTTCCTGAACCGACCCAGGTGATGGCGGAGGCGACTTCGAGGGAGACAACGGAGGGCTCAACAACACAGCGTATTGCTTGTACTTGACTACCATCGACCTGGGCGATGAATTCTGCGATGTCACATACCCTGCACCCGAGTCGGCCGAGCTCGAGTACCTCGACAAGTGGCTCGGATCGTGACCTGCCGATGCTACGTCGTAAGACAAGCTCTCATATCCAAACGTCCCATCATAGCACGCCGCTGCTCTAGCTCGCGGCGACCCATCGTAACCTCCTCCGCTTCGACCTCCCGTCGTCATTGCTTGTGCCATTGCAGGCAGCAACCGGAGCTACTTCAGCGTGTGTGCAAAAAACACACACCCAAACGACGATAATTTTACCCATCTTTGCACGGTTGCATCTAGTATCGAGCCGGATGCAGCCAACACTCGAACACTCTGTGCGTGAACTTGCATGCATCGCCTCTCTGAGAGCTTTCCTTCGAAAAGTCCAAGTATGCCGTCCCCGAGTAGTGGTACTGCCGCGGATCGCAATGCTTAGCTTTGTCGCCTGGGTGGACAAACGGGCACTCCGTTCAATCATGGATCCTCCCCCTCGTCCATCGCTTTACCTTGAATTCAAACATCCACAACAGATCGATCCATATATGTCCACCATCGGCTATGCCTCCTCGTCCTTGTTGTTCGACGGCAGAAACTTATTGAATAGTGCATGAAAAAGTGTCGGTGACCCCAGTGACAATTCCCCGGCTTCCAGCGATGACGCCGACCTCAAGCTCAACCCTCGTAGGGCCGCTTCACCCGCTCCACTTCACGCTTCCCGCTCTCCGCCTCAATCAACGATTCTTTATCCAGCATCGAAAACCCTGAGAACTCACCCCTCGACACCGGCAAGCTCGACGGACTCAAAAAGAAATTATTGAATGCGTGCAACTCCGCGCTCTTCCTGCCCCTTAAGTTGTGGCTCCTCTGATACATCCCACCCAACGCGCTATCTACAAGCACCTCATCGACAGGACCCCGACCCTCAGCTTTCCTGACTCACATTTCGAAGGTTACAAATTGTGTCATCCTTTGTTGTGTTTGGTGTGAGAAGCATGCAGCATCTTCCTTCGTTGCATGTCATGCATGCAAGTGGATGCTTTCTGTTTTAAGATTATTTTCCATCTCCATGATATTAGACTAGAAACTTTTTCACCGGGATATGGTTTTCTACAGAGTCGAGTTATGGAAATCAAATCCAAGTGGTGGAGTAGACAAGAATTGATCTAATAAGGAACATGCGAAGCGATAGATTACATCGGATGTAATCATAGAATCGTATGGTATGACATCTGTTCAACTTTGGTCATCTCATTGAGCCTAGTATATAATCCGTTGACCTCCGCCAATTGATAACCATACATACACACACACACACACACACACATGGAAGCATGTAGAGTTTTAGACACAGGTTGACATGTTATGCAGGTGGTGGAGTAGACAAGAATTGACCTAATAAGGAACATGCAAAGCGATGTAACGTCCCTCTGTCTCAAGCTCCTATTTCAACCTAAAACAAAACAAAGGAACAAAATCACTCACCGTAGAAAATACACACACATACACACAAAAGAATAAATAAATAAATAAATAAAACAGAAACAAAAAAAAAAAAAAAACAAAAAACAAAAAACAAAAACAATGCAAATCGCCCCAAGAATGCCTCAACTTCACTTCGGAAGAAAAAACAAATCAACACAGGGCAGCCGAATTTTGATCTAGCACAAGATCACCTCCAAAGCTTGAAGTTCGAGCTTGGAGTCTGGCTCACCTCGCCTTACATCACAACTTCATCTTTGACTGGACTAGGTAAACCTGGTTTAGGGTTTTAGGGTTTTAGGGATTAGAGGTTTTGCAACACTCGCAAATTGTGAAGCTCAGTTCACAATTGCTTTCATGCCTCCACTCATTCTCAACGCCACAATTCAAGATTACTAGCTAAATAAATAAATAAATAAAACAAAAACAAAAAAAAAATAAAAAACAAAAAACAAAAACAATGCAAATCGCTCCAAGAATGCCTCAACTTCACTTCGAAAGAAAAAACAGATCAACACAGGGCCAAATACACAAAATGGACCAACAGCCCGAACAAAGCAACAAAATATATAAAACAAATGTGTCATACAAAAATTGAAAACCTAGAAATGAACAAAAAGTCCACATTCTCCATCAACACAAAAATCCCAACAACAACAACAACAATAACAACGACACAAAAAAAAGAAAAAAAGAAAAAAAAACCTGTACTACCTTCCAAGAGACTGCAGGCAAAATCTTGCACAAAATATATTTCTAAATAAACCCACATGCATTCGAGGATGGCGAATACATGCGACAGCTCATGAACTTGAGCAGTAAATCCTGTCCTTGTATCCATAACAAGAGCCCATAGATTTGTACAAGAAGCCACACTGCTTATATACAGACCGTCTTCATTACCCTTTTCCACGTGCTCCGTAAGCCGAGAATCAGCTACATCGTAGTGATACCTGCACGTCGAAACAAATGTAGGAATGAAAGTTCAATAAATGGCTTTGTCCGAATCCAGGCTGCTTGCTGAAAGTAAACGCATGTCATAGAAATCGGAATAGCTGATCGACATCCAGGAGGACAAAGTCAAAATCGACGATACACACATGACCGGGCTCATGCCTAACTGAGCGACATCACACCACATCAATGACGAAAGCTCGCACCGCCTTACCTCTGCTTCATTTGGCCACCGAGCGTTGTAAACGTTGTAATCCATTGAGTTGCGGGCATTCCTAACTGGATCTTTTTCTTAGGTTGGTCATCCTCATCTTCTTCAACATCTGATTCGCCCTCTCTTCTGACCAACCTGTATGGAACACTAGAAACAAAAGGCTTTATTAATATGATGATCAAATGAAGAGTAGGTTCAAAAAAAGAATCCTTAGTGTAGGGACAGGAAAAACGAAGCAAAAGAAGGTCATAAAATGCACCTTTTCAACACTGTCTGTGTTTATGGGTCTCACAGTAGGATTAGGACCCAAGATGGAATCGAAGAGTAGAACGAGCTTGCCGTGGTTTGACTCTTCATCGAACTTCATATTTGCGACCATCTCCAAAACGTCTGTTTAAAAACGGAACCGGGCAGAAACAGCACAGCATTTCGGGAGAAGTTGCTATTTTCTTCTTCCACACCAGAAAACCTTTGTTGTCGCCCTATTAAACCAAATATATAGAGCACGTCCAAATGAAAAATAGTGAGAAGGAAAGAAGGAAGGAAGGAAAAATAAATAAATAAATATATATATATATATATATATATATATATATACATATATATATATATATCGCATTGATCACTTCTTCATTAGCTACTAGCTACAAAGTTGATCAATACCTGATAACCTTGCCAAGGAAGACTACCCTGCATAAGGAATACCAAAGTATAAGCCAGTGATCCCAAGTCGTCCTTCCTACTCCCAGTCCTTCCTATATGTGCATGCACACTCGCATAGCGAACAGTTCCACTGCATGTACGAAAATTACACAGAATCAAAATATAGCTCAAAAGCAAAACAGTCGCTCCCAACCGCCAAAACAGGAATGGCAACTACAGATCAGGACAAGGGGGGGAGGGGGAAGAGCCTCACCAGAACACATCAGGCCTTTGGTCATATTCTACATGCTGACCGATTGTACCATCCCTCCATCGAGTAGCTGCATATATGGGAGAAAGACGTTAATCTTGGTGTGAAATTGACTTGTGCATGGACGTAGCGGTAATAAACTCATTCAATTCTCAGTCCAGATGCTCTTCATGTAACAGTTAACAGATGTTAAAAAAAAAAAAAAAAAAAAAAAAAAATATAACGCCAAATTGGAGCAAAGGAGGTTGCTAATGTGTGAACAGAGAACGAATTGCAGCACAACGATACTGAAAACTCACCAAGCCCGAGATGTACATAAAAAAGCTTCTTCTCTTCAGGTGTATTGGGTTGTCCCAGGAGAAAGTTCTCGAGCTTCACGTCTCCATGTACATACCTGCTCAATCAGAACGAGCTGCCCTAAATACTTGCGCTTGACCCCGAAGAGTTCCAGACATCCCGGAGACTTGGCCCGAGCATATCCATGACCTACAGCATGTGAACAAAGTCAAAATCGGATTAAAATAAATAAATACATACATAAATAAATAAATAAATCATGAGTCAAGTTTGAAAAGAAGATGACTACATGAAAACTAAAGGTCTGCTTGGACTACAACAATTCAATAGGTGACTCACCATGACGTAGTAGTCGCCTTGTCGACCTTTGCAATATACACGACCAACACCATGGCTGCCACCAAGAGTGCTGGAGAAAGAACCCGCGCCAACCATGGAGGTTTAGGAGACAAGCCCTAATCACATTTGAATGATGAAAATAAGAAATACAGAAAGGTAATTGTGACACTAGTAATCACATCCCAAGAGTGAAATCACAATGGTACGAGCTCGAGACGCACTTGTAAACCTGCCACTCGCAAGGAGGACCATGATTGCAGCCCTTACCACTCCGATGCTCGAACTTGCTCGAACTTCAATCCCGCAACCTGCACAAACGAGTTCAACGTGAGTACAAAAACTTATTACATTAATACCTACAAGACCTCGATGTAATGTACAGAGCATCTCCCAAACATGCCGCTGCGACCAAGGTTTAGAGCAAAACAAATTGTAAGAAATTGAATACCTCAACGGCCTGTGGACCAGCACGCTCCGTCCCACCGCTCCGTCCCTGTCATTACGTTGGCCGATTCCTTTATGCAATGTACCAGGTTTAGGGACTGCAGCAGTGAATGAAAAACAAGAACCATGAGGAGGCTTAAAACAAACCCCATGTTCATTGAGCCAAAAAGTTGTCAAATCTTCTAATTCCATCCCAAAACAAATTCAATCCTAAACCAGGTTTCAACAATCCATGAAACAATTAAATTGGGAACCATGCACCATACAAACATGGAAGCATGTAGAGTTTTGGACAACGTTTTACATGTTATGCAGGTGGTGGAGTAGACAAGAGTTGACCTAACAAGGAACATGCGAAGCGATGTAACGTCCTTCTCCTTCAAGCTCCTACTTCAACCTCAAACACAACGAAGGAGCACAGTTATTCACTTTAGAAAACAAACAAAACAAACCAAAAGAAAACAAAAAACAATAAAATAAAATAAAAAATCGATTCAAATCGCCCCAAGAATGCCTCAACTTCACTTTGTAAGAAAAACAGATCAACACAGAGCAGCCGAATTTTGATCCAGCACAGGTTCACCTCCAATGCGACCAGGTTTACGAGCTTGGAGTCTGGCTCACTTCGCCTCGCCTCACATCACAACTTCGCCTTGCCCTCAATACATTACTTGTTACAGTTGTGAGTCTGAACACAATACTTTCGCATTCGGGGATCTTCACTACACATGCAACTAAGTGCATTTCACTCCAATACTTTTTCACGTCAGTGTTATAATTATTTAAAATAGAATTTGTCTAGCATCAAAAAACAAAAAAACCAAAGAGTAAATACAAATTTGGTCTATGGAGACAAAGAATTCAAGAAGTTCGAAGGAATTCAAGAAATTTTAATTCAGAATTTAGAAACTTGTGCCGAACTGGGACTCACGCCGGGACTGAGAGTCATGGGACTAGCGAGACTCGCGCCAGGATCGAGGCTCGCAGGACCGAAATTCGCGCCGAGACTGGGACTCGCAGGACTAGGCCTCTTACCGGGACTGGGACTCATAGGACTGAGACTCGCGCTGGGAGTGGAATTCATGCCAAGCCTGGGACTCGTGGAACTGGGACTTGTGTCGAAACTGGGACCCACTCCGAGGTCCGCTAACTGGTGTCGCATCCAATCCACACTCCCATTGTGAGGGTGCGAGTCGGTTCCACTGCGAGTCCCTGTCTCAGTTCCTTGCCCCGGTGTCTCACTCCCTCCCTCTCCCACCATGCATCATTCAAATTTTCTTCCCTTTCCTTCCGGTGTACAGGGTGAGATTGGGCACCGGGCACTGAATGTTTGTTGCTTGTCTGTCGTTGTGTGGAGGGGAGTGAGAGGGTCGGTCTGAGCACATGCACTGAGTGTTAGTTGCTTGTTTGTCGTCACCTGGACGTGGAGGAAGAAGGGGGGGGAGGAGGAGGGTTTAGGGTTTAGGGTTTAGGGTGTAGGAAAGAATGAATCTGATGCTGTAAGGGCATTATTGCCACCATGGAACTCCTATGTGCCCTTTGTTCAATGCGTCCTCCATGGGAATAGAAACTGTCGATGAAGTTGTTGGTTGCAGTGCAAAGATGGAGTTTCTCTTCTGGCCACATTTGATAGTGGTAACTAAGGAGTAACCAGATTTAGCCGCGGCTATGGTTCCATCACTGCTTATCAAAGTGGGACAGGAAAATCTGTAAACTTGGTCGAACGAGTCCCAAGTTCCGTGAAAATGATGCTACCAAGCAGATTCCCACTAAACCTGGGACAACACAAAAAAGACAAGACTTGAGCTCCGTGAAAATGATGCTACCAAGCAGATTCCCACTACACCTGGGACAACACAAAAAAGAAAACACTCGAACTGTATTGGAAAGCCAAAGGCAAGAACTGCTCCAAAATCGCAGGGCATGGCTTCTGGGACGGGAAGAGGCGAAGCGCCTGTTGGAAGTGGAACGAGAGAAGGCAGCCATACTGAAATAGGAAAAAGGGGGGATATTGGTTGACCAGTATATTGGATTGAAACGGAAGAGTTACGGGCAGAAATAGGAACCCGGAAAGCTGCTCTAGTCACAAAATTGGAGAGTGACCCAGCCAGTATTGGTCGGTCACGGATGTCTGCCCCACCAGTTTCAACAATCGGTGAATTGGAGGAGAAGGTGAGGCAACAGTAGCACCAATTGGGAGCAACCAGGTTGTCAGGATTTTGCAATTGGAGGCCCAAGTTCGTGAATTGGGTTTAGGGTACGATGAAGACTTATCAGTCTAATCGCAGGGAGAGCCGATGGAAGTATCGGAGGAGGACAAGGACTCATCATAAGAGCCAGAACTTGTAGGGAACCACCTCCAGTGAATGTTGGAGTTGACCAATCCGGCGAGCCCAGAGTGGTAGAAAATTTGTTCGGAAAATCACTAGAAAAGGTTTTACCAGTTCATTGTTGGCGAGGACGCTGCACAGTTGGGAGCGGGGTCAGGTAGAATGGGGAGGATTTTATTTATTTATTTATTTATTTTTGTGTCTTACAATACATTGTATGTAGGGTTAAGAAAAGCCAATAAATTGATGAGTGGATAGTTTAGAGGGTATGATGGATGATTAGGAAGGAAAACGTAGTCAACATCGGATGTGTAATATTTGGTATTCGGGGATCACAATACTTTCGCATTCGGGGATCTTCACTACACATGCAACTAAGTGCATTTCACTCCAATACTTTTTCACGTCAGTGTTATAATTATTTAAAAATAGAATTTGTCTAACTTCAAAAACCAAAAAAAAAAAAAAAAAAAAAAAAAAAAAGAGTAAATAAAAACTTGGTCTATGGAGACAAAGAATTCAAGAAGTTCGAAGGAATTCAAGAAATTTCAATTCAGAATTTAAAAACTTGTGCCGAACTGGGACTCACGCCGGGACTGAGAGTTACAGGACTAGGAAGACTCGCGCTGGGATTGAGACTCGCAGGACCGAAACTCGCACCGAGACTGGGACTCGCAAGATTGGGACTCTTACCGAGACTGGGACTCGTAGGACTGAGACTCGCGCTGGAAGTGGAATTCATGTCAAGAGTAGCTCGTAGAACTGGGACTTGTATCAAAACTGGGACCCACTCCGAGGTCCGCTAACTGGTGTCGCATCCAATCCACACTCCCATTGTGAGGGCGCGAGTCTCAGTCTTGGTGCGAGTCTCGGTTCCACTGCGAGTCCCAGTCCCAGTTCCTTGCCCTGACGGCTTATCTATGTAAAGTTTGAGAATAGGTCGAGGGCATTACACCCCCGATACCTCCAATCATTCGCTTTACTTGATAAAATTCTCACACGAGCTCCAGCTATCCCGAGAAAAACTTCGGAGGGAATCAGCTACTACTAGATGGTTCGATTAATTGGTCGCCCCTACACCGAAGTCTGACGAATGATTTGCACGTCAGTATTGCTACGAGCCTCCACCAAAGTTTCCTCTGGCTTCGCTTTGCTCAGGCATAGTTCACCATCAATATAAATTACACGTTAGGGAAGGAAATTAATGTGTATGACTACATTCAATGAAATAAATGTACTTTGAACATGTCAAATAACGTACCATTATTCCTTCAAACCAAGTATTATAATGTAAAAAATAATAACAATAATACATGAGGCTATATTATAATGTAAAAAATATAAACAGTGGAATAAAACTACATTCCAACCTGTGAATACTTACAGTTATTTAAGCACAATATTAAAGGTAATTCCAAAAATAATATCATCAAAATCCACCACAAATGTTGATATATCCATCAATATATCCATCTCCACTGCTACAAGACTACTCCTGATCAGTGGCAGGAGATACTTGTTTGTCTTCTTTTTTGCCCTTATCAAACAAACATTTGCTTGTTATCCACAATGCAAAGCTAGTTGTACTTATTACTTAGTTGAACAAGCATTAAAAGTTATAAAAACAATAAAAATAAATAATTATCAAACACCAAAACCAAAAGCTATAAACAAGTAACAAAGTAATATAACATTGTAAATTTACCATGAATTCTTTGATGGAGAACTGATTTTCCAACAAGTGTCGTTCGTAAAGACGTTTCTTTTCAAGGAATCCTTCTCGGGTTTCAACAACACGAACATTCCCATTCTTATCTTTGTAGTCTATTATACCGGGCCCGTCGGGGTGAATTAATCGCCCGAGTTGTCTGTAAAGTGAGCATTTTTGAAAAAATGCAAGACCCAGTAAGCCCTTTCCTTGAAGGCGCCGTGTACAATGTAAAAGTTCACTTGGCCTGAAAACACAAACATCCCCATGTTTGGGTACAAACATAATCGATGCTTCTGGGAAAGCAAATATGGCCGGTTCATTTTGTTCCGATGGATCTAATTCAATAAATAATCCATTGTTAGTATAAAAGTTTAAAGTTAAAAAACATGTTATCTAAAACATCAACACTCCAATTATTTTGTTTAAAAAAAAACCAAAAAACATTGCATTACATTTACATACAAATACTGGAAATTCCAATAAAAAAACTAAGTTGTATTATATTACCTTCGCGTAGCCATATTATGAATCCAAAATCATAATCATCTTCATCACGATGAGGCCTACAATTGAAGTCCCTCGTGATAGCAAATGATGTAAATGGTCCATTACCAATACAAGCACCACTATTTGAAAAGCCTTCAGCAATCACAATATTATCCAAGTGTTGAAATAAACTTTCATACGACCTCCTTAAAATATGACAAGTATATTTCGCAAGTTCTTCAGATAAATGATAATATTCTGGCCTGTTTTGAATATACCTATATAACAACCAACCATAAAATCAAATCAAATAACATTGAAACATAATATTACTACATTTAAGAATTTAAAAATTTTAATTATTATATCAAATTTATATATATATATATATATATATATATGAATATACGTATACAAAACTCACCAACCAGTGTCTCCATAAGCAGAACGCATCCCAAACATAGAAATACTTGAACTTTCTTTTGCTGGCGATCGGCATAAGTTTCTCCCACCCTTCTCAAGATATGATACTATTTTTGTAATTACTCGAAGTTCTTTAGGAGTGAAAATTCCATTCCTCAAGTCAATTAATTTATCTTTAAAAAAACCACTTCTAGTTAATATTGTTGGACTTTCAATGTTGAGAAAAGAACTCTTTAAGTAGTTGCTAATGGTCAATAGAGTACAAGTGTTGTTAAGGATATCCCATAAGATAGGGTGCTGGTCTATAGTACATTAGAGTACAAGGGGAGGGCTGGTCCTAGGAGATATCCCATATGGATTGTAGCACTTGGTACCTTGCTACTAGTATATAAGGAAAGGGTTGACATGGGAAGAATTATCTCATACCACACTCTATTTCTTATAGTGCAACCTTGCTGGTCCTAACTTACTTGTGTGGAGTATGCTTTCTATGTTTCAATAGGTTATGGGCCCACATTCTCTTACCAAGTAAGTTGTTCTTGCATTTTATTTTCTTTGTTGCTTGTTTGGTGGTTGAGATCTTATGGTATAGTATTACTAGTGTTTTGTTGAAGTCATTACTCCTGGATTTGTGAGTGTATGAGGTTAGTGCAAGACCTTGATAGTGTCTTTGCTGAAGTAACACTAGCATTTGAGAGTTTTATGAGAAATTGAGTCATTTTGAGTGAGGTGATGTGAGGGAGATGTTTGAAAGCCATAGAATTACACGACATAGCATTTCCCACCATTTAGACGTGATTTGGACTCAAAGTATGCAAAAAGTTGCAAAACAGCGAATTCTGAGTTTGTAGTTCACCAATCTTTGAGTAGTCATATCTTTAGCATTACAACTCCAAATCAAGAGATTTTTGGACCTACTTATAGCTTGAGATGGCATCTTTTGAGAGTGATAGCTTAAGAATGGTAGAAAAGTTTAGAGGTGACAACTTTTACCACTGGAAGGCCAAAATGGAGCTACTTTTGGCGTCATTGGATCTTTGGGAGATAGTATGTGAGGAGGAAGAGGCACCTGGATTAGAGGCAAGCATGAAGGAGCAAAAGAACTTCAAAAGACGAGAAAAGAAGGCTTTTGGCATAATTGCCACCAACTTAGATGAAACCAACTTTGCTCATGTCATTTCTTGCAAAGAGGCAGCAGATGCATGGAAGACTCTTTGCAATGTCTATGAGAGTAGGAATCTTTCCAATGTGCTATGGTCAAGGCAAAAGTTCTTCACCGTGAAGATGGAAGAAGGTGAAGATCTCATGGCTCATATAAATAATGTAAAAGCACTTTTAAACCAACTTGCTGTTGTTGACAAGCCTTTACTTGAAGAAGATGTTGTGATGACATTGCTCTCAAGCCTTCCGGACTCCTATTCCTCCCTCATTGTGGCATTGGAGTCCATTTCAAGGAAAGACCTTACTTTGGACTATGTTACGGCAAGACTAGCCCATGAAGTGACCAAAAGAAAGCAAAAGGAGTCTATTGGGGAGCAATCAGCACTATTTACAAGACCAAGTAAGGCAAGTGCCCCTTTTCAACGTTATCCTCCTAAAACTTATTACATTTGTGGAAAACCAGGCCATTTTGCTAGAAATTGTTTCAAGGCAAAGAGAGGAGAAAGAGAGAATGCCAACAATGCTTTTCATGACCATGGAGGTGAAGACTTTGCATTCATGGCAAAACAAACTCCTTCCATGTTTGATATGAGCAAATGGATTGTGGATTCTGGATGTACCAAATACATGACTCCATACAAGTGTTCATTTAACACTTATCAACCAATTCAAGCAACCAAGGTTTGGTTAGGTGATAATTGTATGGTACAAGCCATTGGAATAGGCACCATTGTAGTGGAGGTGGTTGTGAAGGGCATAAGCAAGAGAATCACTCTCAAGGATGTGTTGCATGTGCCAAAGATGAAGAAGAACCTCCTTTCGGTGAGTAAACTTGTAACTGATGGGTACAAAGTGCAATTTAACATGAATGGATGTTTTGTGAGAACCATGGAAGGCAAAGAAGTAGCAAAAGGGACTAGGAATGGCAATCTCTATATTATCAATTGCAAGAGGATCAATGGAGTGGAGGTTGCTGCCTTTGCTGAATTTCCATCAAATGAAGAGAAGATGGGCATTTGGCATCAAGACTTGGGCATTTGAATGCCAAAAGCATGAAGGGACTTCAATCCAAGGTAAATGGCATAGACCTTGGCCATTCTACCATGAATCTTGCTTGTGAGGGATGCATTCTAGGCAAACAATATAGGACACCATTTCCTAGTGGAGTTGCTGAAAGAACAAACCAATCGCTGGAGCTTGTCCATTCCAAGGTTTGTGGATCGATGAGGACACCATCTATGAGTGGTAGTAAAAAGTGGGAGATGTGTCCAAGTGGGAGTAGTGGTGTGTTTTTGGACACATCTTCAATTCTAGCAAACAAACAAGAAGATGAAGAAGAGCATTCTCAAAGTGAAGAAGGAGAGGAAGTTGCCATGATAGAAGAGCCCAATACTATGAAGACTTCAATTCCAGCAAGATACAACAAGGACAATGAAGAGAATGAAGATGAAGAATACCAACAAATGAGTAAAAGAAAGCACTCCATGAGTCATACAAGGCAGCAAGAGGTGCAAGAAGGCTCATCTTCTTTGCATGAAAGAAGATATCCAACACATGAGAGAAGACCACAAGGTGAATGGTGAAAGAACCACATCTTTCCACAACAATTGGATGTAAGTGGGTGCTTAGAACTAAGAGAGATGCAAACGATTGAAGGTCAACAATGGGCTATGTATTCTTTTTTTGAGTGGGAGCCATATCTTTGAATAGCAATAGAGAACTAAACATTGCAAGGTCCACAATAGGGGCGGAGTATTTGGCAGCAAGTCATAAAGCAATGGAGGCAATTTGGTTGAGGTTGTTATTGGAAGATATTGGACTTGTGCAATTTGAAGCTACTCCATTGAGGTGTGACAATCAAGGATGTCTTGCTTTTGGAAAGAATCCAAAGCATCATGCAAGAACTAAGTACATTGATATTCAGCATCATTTCATAAGAGAGAAGATAGAGATGGAGGTTATTGATATGATGTATTGTGAAACCAAAGACATGATGGCTGATTTGTTGACAAAAGATTTAGTTAGAGAAGGACACAACAAGTTGAGTAAAGCATTAGGATTGATAGCTAATTGACCAATAGCAAAGTGGGAGTGTTGAGAAAAGAACTCTTTAAGTAGTTGCTAATGGTCAATAGAGTACAAGTGTTGTTAAGGATATCCCATAAGATAGGGTGCTGGTCTATAGTACATTAGAGTACAAGGGGAGGGCTGGTCCTAGGAGATATCCCATATGGATTGTAGCACTTGGTACCTTGCTACTAGTATATAAGGAAAGGGTTGACATGGGAAGAATTATCTCATACCACACTCTATTTCTTATAGTGCAACCTTGCTGGTCCTAACTTACTTGTGTGGAGTATGCTTTCTATGTTTCAATATTCAACACGCGGGAGTCGAAGCAATTGTTCTGTTAAACCTTTATTTGTAGTTTCAAAATCAACCAATCGCATACTCCGTTGGATAAATATTTCACCTTCGTTTAATGAAAATTCTATTGTTTTCAATTTCTTGTCATCGCCATGATTATAAGCAAATTTTTTAATATGGTATAACAACTCACCTACAACATTAGGCAGCTGCATCTTACATTTTTGGCAATAATATGTAGTACCGCCTGGAAAGTAATCCAATCCTTCTTTTTCAAATAAACTCTTGAATAAAGCCAATTTTTCTTTCCTCTCATGTTTTGAACCAGGTTGAAAATGTTGATCCAAACAAGGTTTCTTGTTCGAGACCTCACATTCACAAAATTCACACCATACCATGCTCGTATTGTTTCCATAACCATCGTTGGGACTTTTTTGTTTTTTTTCCATTTTCCTGCCAAAATTGTTCTCATATTTTCGCCTTTTTCCTATCGTCCACAATGAAATGAACCTGTGGAAAATGAAATAAATGCATGTAAAATTGAATAAATTCGAATAAAATAAAACAGATCTATGAAAAATGAATAAGTGAGTACATAGTTATAGCGGAGCCCATCGAATCAATATTTTATACGGTGCAACCAATTATGCATTAAAATATTTTATATTCCACAAATTTTCACAAATCATGAATTCTGGACCACGGACATTTTTTTTTTATTTTTTTATTTTTATCCATCCCTGAATGCTCTTCACAGTGTTACACCCACCCCGCTAATTTAAAATTGTGAAGATTTTCAAGTTTTCATGAATTTCCCCAATAAGTACACAACAGTACTGGCAAACTCTGAACCTCGGATCATAGATGCTTTCTTGCTTTTCCTTGCCCGTAACTATTCATTTCCATATCAGTCGTGCTTCATAAACCTCTGATTACGAGGGCTTTCACGCTTCCATGAAAAGTAGTAGATGAACTCGCTTTCCCCTATAAATCGCGTATCATGTAAATCATAATAGAACAAAGTTACACAACCCCAGTCCCCTCGTTCAACATCAATCCGCACACTATTTCCTTACTTCTACTCATTCCCAAACACTCAACACAACATTACATGCACTCACCCAACTTCAAATTACGAAGATTCTCAGGTTCATATGAATTTTCCCAACAAGTACACAACAATACTAGCAAACTATGAACCTCAGATCATAGATGCTTTCTCGCTTTTCCTTGCCCCTAACCATTCAATTCCACATTACTCGCGCCTCGTAAACCTCAGATTACAAGGGCTTTTACGCTTTCATGAAAAGTAGTAGATGAACTCGCTTTCTCCTATAAATTGCGTATCATGTAAATCATAATAGAACAAAGTTACACAATCCCAGTCCCCTCCTTCAACAATAATCTACACACTATTTCCTTACTTCTACTCATTCCCAAACACTCAACACAACATTACACGCACTCGGCCAACAGCTAGAACAAAGCTTTGACTCAAATAGAGAGGGTGCAGTAATGAACACGGAGGTGGCACGACCAGAGGCCGAGCAATATAGAGAAGATGAGACTAGAGTAAATTGAGTCAATCAGGAGAAGGAGAACGATCAGGGGAGGGAAGAATCCGATCTTGCAAAATCGGCATCCA